CCCTTCCCTTAGGATCAGTTATTATCAATGAGAATACACGCATGCCAACAAGACAAAGGCTATGACAGTGGCAGCAATGCTCGTGCTCAATAAAGATGAGGCTTGTTACTACATATCATTGACAAATAAACTCAGGTAAAGCTATCATTCAAGTAACCAACATGTTGTAGTTTAAAATTATATGAAACATGTCTGCACTCAAAAAATATTTACGCCCTAAATGTGAACTTTTGTTATGTAAGTTTGTTATATAAGTACAGTGTAAAACGCTAAATTTTATCACATCTAGGCAAATAAATTTGACTTGATTGGTATACATTCAGTTTTCACCAGGCATTTTTTCCTTAATGATTCATTGTTTGAATAAGTTAACCTTTGACCTTATATGTTTCAGGTCAAAGAATCACTTTTTGAGTGTAGGGGAGCAGAGGGCAAGTGTCAATTAGAGGTTACATTCATGTTAAGTCTGTCAAGTTTAAGTCTTACCTGAAACATCGCCCTGACTTTCTGCTTGGGTAAATTCACATTGAGCTTGTGGAGCAGCTGGTGAACTTCTCCGATGCTCAGGGTGCCATCTCCATTTTTATCTGCCTCAGAGAAAGTCTGCTGTAACCACGTTCAGCTGCAGTTAAGGCTGAACCATACGCTAAACAATCAGTTTACCAAATATAAAGTGATGTATTTGTGCCTATAAACCATGTTGAACAGTTGTGTGGGCGGATAAAGGATATTGATCACGGGTGCGCTGCCTCCGAGCCATACTATCTTCATCACTGATACCAGCCATGAGGTATTTCAGCCCAGTGATCCAAGTGCGGGTCTCCTCTGCGTTGGTGGAGACCAGGTCCAGGGACTTCACACGGTCCCCGTAGTAAATACTGAAGCAGCAGTTTGGGTCGAAACGGTTGTCTGCGTAACGCCTGAAGACCTCTGACTTTTTCCCCTCACACACCTCATGAATGGAATCAATAGTTACTGAAAAACAAAAACAGAGAGGTCATTCATGTCTCTGCAGCATTGAAAATAAATAAATTATAAACAATAATATGCAGTATTGTGCAAAAACCTCCATTTCATTATAAATCTTGCCAGGAAAATGATTTATTGAACCATGTGCAAACATACAAATGTCCCAACGCCCAACAATACAACAGTTTATCAGATGTAAAACATGTCAGCTTTTTAAAGAGCTGAAATCCAACTCTTCTGGTAAATTTGCCATCAACCAAAAGAAACTTTGCCGAACTAACAGGAGTTATAACTGATGGTCTAAACCAAATATTCATCAAAACAGCTTTTTGTGGCTTTTCCTCAGCTGAAGGGCCACGCCTAAAATGTGGTTTCTTTAAGACATCATAATCAGTAAATACAAATATGAACTTTGAGCTGAATTCAATTCTCATGCAATACGAATAGTCCCGAGTGATCGTCCACACCAAAAGCTGGTCACTCACTTTTGGCCTTGTCATGTTTTCTGGAGGGTCGCCATCGGATGCAGGATTTGTGCTCGTCCAGGTAAAAGAATCGCACCAGTCCTTTCTTCTTCCCCTTCATTTTGGTTAACTGAGTGCCAGTTTGCATGGTGCACATACACCTCTCCACTACAGGACAACACAAGAAACAAATTTATCAAAGGCTTCTTTAGTCAAGATTGTCAGAAATCCACTGCGATTAATTTATGGACAGCACCACAGGGTGCCCAAAGATATCAAATGTTCAGTTTAATAATAAAATCTTGCTATGTTGGGACCGTGCATGCTGAGGTTATGAGTAAAAATATCATGTTGGTGCCATACTTACACCACCACCAAGTCAAAAGAGCCTTACTGTTGTCATTGACTGAGAATGTTTGTAACTTATGAAATCCTACACCACATTATTTTGTGTTGGGAAGTATCATGAGCTCAAAGGGATGATTAGAGGTTTACTATCAAGCATTACTTCGTGAGATTACAGGCTGAGTTACACCATGAAAATACACAAACTACTTATTGTCTAAAAAGAAACGCCTGTGCCTACAGCCAGATGCGTCACAGTGCTCTACAGTGTCTCTTCTGACTTTCCTTCAGTGACTTTCCATGAAATCTTTAATGGTGTGTGTGCCCACAGTAAGTATACTGGGAAAGCGTTTAACAGAACCACTTTTTTCTCCTAACAATGAAGTCATTATCAGGTCACCAGTTTATGTGTTGTGTGCGAGTAACCTTTGTTTGTAATCTGAAGCTCAGGTGCATGTGACGCAACCTGGCACACCATTCAGGCTAATCCTAAAGGATTGTCCACTGTCCATATGCCCATTATCTGCTTCACTGCTTCCCTAATTTGTTATACGTGCGAGCTCCTTGTTTTGAAGGCCATTCGCGACAACACGTCACGGCAAATGTTTTAAATTTACAACACCCGGAATAAAAATGTCCAGTAAAACTTTTCCCTCTTCCCTCTCAGTGTGGTGCAGACAGCAAGCACCTCTGCTAAACAGGCTGCTGAGCTTCTGTGATTATTTAAGTATTATTTAGTGATCAGTTGACTTAATATTACCTATCTGACCCAGTCTCCATTTAGGCTGTGCAACCACACTTCCACCAATCCAGAAGAATTCCTCTGCGAGTCGAGAAACAGATGCTTTCTGCCAAAGTTTTGGGGAGCTCATAATAGATGGAGTGGGGGAATTCAGTCGGCTGGAGCCAGGGTTTGCCTGATGAGTGGAGGCTTTAGCCGGAGACGGTGAAAACACTCCTGATGACAGAGATCCCAAGGACTGAAAGGTTGTCTTCTTAGGAGGCAGAGAGGACAGTGGTGGAGTTCCACTGTGTCCGGGAGACTGTGGTGCCATCGCAGAGCTGATGTTCATCCCTGAGTTGTACATTTGGGTCCAGCTCTCCTGGCCCATCCACACCACGAGAACCCACCTTCTTCCTCCCCACTCTGTTGGACTCTTCAGACAGGTTTCTTTGTAACGCGGGTCAGCATATCCTCATCTTGTAGTTAAAGCATTCCTACATGGGAGCAAGGACCGACATTCCCACCCTGGAAGCTCATTCCTTGACATTGTTTGTCCGGGTTTCCAGTGTACTGACCATCAAGTGTTCTTCTATGAATGTTTTCATGCAGAGAGGGCTCTCAGATTGGAAGAAGTGTGCACCTTGTTTGTGTCAGTAAATCTTGCTGAAGCTGTAATCCCGGAGTGAGGCTTCAGCCTTGCTTTCATAGAGGGATTTTCCAGTAAGCCTCTGAAGGAAGACAGTGGGACACGGTGGCTGCACATTTTATTTTAACCATACCTATGAGAGTCAAAGTTATTACAGAATATGGACATTAAAGTAGATTTCATAACCATGTTTATGACACACAGTATTAGGCTTTACCACTAGAGCCATTAAGGTTTTAAGAAGCTTGAAGTATCGTCATACTGTGTGCAGTGATTTCCCCCTAGAGGCAAAAGTCTGACATAGAGCAGACGCTTCTCGAATGGCAGGTGAAGCTGTCAAACCAATGTGTGAAATTTTTCACAATATTTTTACTTGTACACAAGAGAAAGGGTCTAGCTATCTGCAAATGTTTCAGAAGCTTAATACAAATTCTACAATTGGTTTACAGTTATTGGTTGTGTCTTTGTGCTTCTTAAAAAATAAATCAAAGTACAAATAAACATGTAGCAGCCTTCTCAGATAAACATTCCTGGAGGCAACAATTCTGCCTTGGAAGAAGAAGAGATGTAAGGATGTGTGTAGGTGTAGAATGCAGAGGGTGGATGTGGTGCACATTGTGGTTCTGGCTTTGCTGCATTGCAAGGGAGAGAATCAGGTGTCCTTTTGGACACCAGTTCTTACTGGTGTCCAAAAGGACAGAAGCAACAGGCTGTTCAGTGTTGCAGCGCTGTTTTCTTACCACAGTTCATGTTCTTGGTATTGATGGTCTCCATGGTAATGTTCTGTGCAGTGTAAAAGTTTTGTGAGATCATGGCAGGACAAATAAAATAGTTTATTTGCACTTGTCATAAGATGTTAATAGAATAATTGAACGTGAAACCACACAATAGCAGTTAGTCAGCCACAGAAAGGCTTTCATTCTGAGAAAATGGCTAAATATTTTGACCACTCATGCTTACACAATGTCAAAGGAACCTGGCAATAACTCATTCAGTGACATTAGAAAAAGCTCATGCATCCAGCAGAACTGTGGTGTTTTGCTAAACGCATGAGCTGCTTTGGGAAATGCATCAACACTTCGAGGAACATCGAAACTGTGTTGAGAAATATTCTAAAGCAACTGAGGAAAGCTGTGATAGGAAACGTGGACATTTTCACGTTTTCTCAATTGCTTCTGAGTATTTTTGAAACCTTTTTTAAGGTTGCACTACGGAAGATACATTTCTAAAAACGCGCATGCAGGGAAACACATTTGAGTCAAAATAAAAGCTTTGTGTCAATGAATGGCTTCTGTACTGCTGTGGTGTATCAGGGTGGATGCTCTTCAGGTTATTTTACTGGGTTTTACATTCTACTTTGTATGGCAAAAGAACTCCTTTCATTTGCATGTTACGTGAGCGGGACAAAAAGCATGCTAATGGGGGAAGAACTACAGCGTGTGCTTTTGCCAGAGGTGGAAAGAGTACTCAAAATTTGTACTCAAGTACAAGTACTGTTACACTGGTTAAATTGTACTCAATTACAAGTAAAAGTACTGGTGTTAAAAAAAAATACTTGAGTAAGAGTACAAAGTACTGTTCTCAAAAACTACTCAGAGTATTAATTACTTTTTAACAGACTGATGTTTTATTCTGTTGTCAATAGCAGGCATTCAACTCGATTCACCAGTATAAATATTTATGTTCAAAGCACATTTTTCAGATGAACAAGGTATAGAAAGGTAACTTGTTTTGTAAATAAATGTAGATATAAAAGAAGGAATTTTGTTTGTTAAAACAATGACAAAAATGTTTCTGAACATGCGTAGAACCATTTAAACTTTTCCCCATACACTGAACAACAGGCAGGTAAGTGTCTTAAAGTCTTAGCATTTCTGTCACACTTTACTTTCTGAACCTTTTGTTCAGTTTCAGCAAGAGCTGGTTTTCTAAATTAACAGAGGCAATCCGACTTCGTTTGGCAGTGAAGAGTAGACCAGCACAGCTAAAAAGTCGTTCACACGCAGCAGAAGCAGGCAGAGCTGTGTTTAGTTTAAGAGAGAGGTTTTTGATGGCTGAGAAGGAGTGCAGCAGCTCCATGGTGTCTGTGGCACAAGCAAGATAACCATCAAGCTCAACTGCACTTTGCAGCCTTCTGGAGATTGGTCTGGAGAAGAATTCATCTTCATCAGATGACTCTCTTTGCTGATCCTCACTCTCATGCTCTGTCGTTTCAAGATGTTGTTTGATGTATGTCAAGGCTGTAATTGCAAGTAGATAACACAATTTTGTTATTTAAATTTCAGTGATTATTCCTGAACACAAATTTAAAATCGGCAAATTCTCAAAAAGGATTGTTTAGTATTCAGGACAGACCATCAATAACTTACAATGTATTAGGTGAAATACTCACTTAAGCATGTGTTCAAATGTAAAAATACACAAAAATGGGATCACATGAATCCTTACCAGCCTCTGTTACATCTGCTCTGTCAGTCCAGGAAGTCTTGAACTTGGGTAAGAGGACTGCAGCTGCAGCCAACTCTGGATCCTCCATCATCGCTCCAAAACGCTTTTGAAGGCCATTTTGCAGGGCTCTGATGAGTGGCACGCATGTCTTGCTTGATGTCTCCAGCCTGCTAAGTTTGGACAGTAGTTGTTGGATTACTGGCAGGAGCCATCCCATAAAGGAAGTGGACTCAGACTGAAGGATGTTTGAAGCTTTCACCAGTGGCTTCATGGTGGTACAGTACTCCCTTAGGAATGCAACTTCTGCAGGACTCAACCTGTAAGACACAACAACAAAACCCACCATGACTATAACAGGGATCTTCTGATTTAATATTAAGAGTCTGCTCACGTTTTTAACCATACATTAAGGAAAATTCACAAAATTTGCAACCATATTGGTAGGTGTCCAATTTTACTCACATTTTCACCTTGAACTCCTCACAAATGCTCCTGATGGCATCTTCCCCCTTCTCATCAATGATGCGTATTATCCTTTCAATGGCAAGGTAGGTTGAATTCCATCGTGTTGCATTGGGACGAATGATCTGTAGCTCACACTTGTCCTCTACCACTTCATTAGCCAAATGAGATCGGCCAGTTTTGTTCCAAATGGCCTGGCATTTTGCAAAGGTTGCACGGGAGAGCCTCTTGTAGGTTTCATTCATGCTCTCTGCTAGGGCAGCATCAGTTGTTGCCACAAGGTTTAGCAGGTGACATGCACATCGCTGATGAGGCGGAAGTTGATACTCCAAACCAGAGTCTTCATCAAGAATTGCACTTGCCTCATGGTAGTCCCTATGGTCAGTCAGGTCAATAGTTTCTGGGTCTGCTTCATCTTCAGCTTCATCTGCATCATTTTGTGCCCCAAACATGTGGAAGGCCTTGACAAAGTTGGATCCACTATCAGTTGTGGTTCTTACAACTTTGCCTCTAATCTTGTATTGGCAATGGATATCATCAAGCGCACCAGCAAGCATGTCAAATGTGTGAGACCCTCTCAATCTTTTGCATGCTAGTGCTGCAGATCTTCTTTCCAGGGACGCTTCCTCTATCCAATGGCATGTGACTCCAAGGTAACTTTTCTGATGAGCTGACCAACAATCAGTAGTGGTAGCAACAAATTTGACTTTATCCAATGCTGCAACCAAAGTCATCTTCATGTGATCAGCAGCTTCACAGATTCTGGCACGGACAGTGGGTCTGGAGATGACTTTGGCTTGAGGTTGTAATGTGGTAACCAATTCTTTGAAAGATGGCTGTTCTACCACTGCAAATGGCTGTAGACCCTCACATATGAAATTGATGACAAGCTTGTCAACAGTTGCTTGTGGAACATGTTTGTTTGCAGCTCTCAACATCAGGTCTGGTAACTTGGCTTGTGTATTTGCTGAGAGCTTGTTTGGTGTGGCTGTGGTCTTTCGCTGTCGAGATGTTGATGCCACAGTGATATTGTACTGCTCAGTCTTCGATGGATGTTTCCTCTGTAGAGATAAATATTATCATACGTCAGGTTCATACATTACTTCATAACATCACTGTGATTAACACTAAAAGAAAACACATTTTTAAAACATTCAACTAGACTTGAGCTAATCTTGTTGAGCATAGTATAAAAGAGTGGTGAATTGGTCAAATTTTGCAGATATATTGCTGTATTTATTTACAAATGTAAACCAATTTTGAACGATCATTGCAAAAAACATGAATTTCTGTATACATTCTAAGTTCTGTAATATGTATACTATCTGTAAAAAGAGTATCGACCAATGTATCAGTATCTAAATTTTTAACTCCTTTTTATCAGTATCACCCTAAAGTTTTCAGTATTAGTCAGGTCCTAAAAATACTAAGAGAGCAAAATATGTGTATCTAGCAAATCTAATTTAAGAAAAGGGATCACATACACAAAAATGCTGCCCATACAGCTAACAAATAAAACCAATCCACATTATGTTCTTTAAAAAAAGATATCATATTGGGAAACATATAACCCTACTGATTAAGAGCCACGTCACTATGATAGACCTATATCAGGCCAATGATCCTGATCAACTGATCCATCAATCGGGCTCTGGTACATGTCAGCTGAGAGCTGGAAGATTAATTTGAGATGCAGCTCAGCACTGTGTTCAAGTTTGTTTGTTTTTTTGTTTGTTTGTTTTTTTAAATAGGCCAGCTGATTGTAGGCCTGTGAGTTTTAAATGACTACAAGTTTAATTTATTGTAATGACGGTGGTTATCCAAATAATAAGCTAAAACATTCCTACGAATTGTAGCTCAGTTATGCATGCACACACGCACATTAGCTAGCTCCGTCTTATTTTAATATCAGGCTAACCAATGGCGGTGACAATATCTTAGCCAAACTAGTAACCTTAACACACATGAAAAATAAGAAAGCAATATCATACACGTATAGTTGTAAAACCTCTTACCTCAATGTGTTTTTTTAGATTAGATGCTGAAGTCTTGTAAGCTGAAATGACTGTAGAGGTCAAACAAAGTTTGCACTGCATCTGGACGCTGTCTCCTTTTCTTCCTCTGTACACGAAAAATTCCTCCAGGTATGGCCACGGGCACGCGTCCTCCGTCTTTTCTACGTCATTTTCACGGTTGACAGTGTTGTCCTCTGTCTCCATTTTGGCTTCTTTGTCTCCAAATCTTTCGTCTATAAAGTAGTTTATACTCCACCATTTAGCACCTCCAGACACCTGTGCCTGCTGCTGCAGCGGAGTTTATTCTTTGCTTACGTCTTAAATTGGCGCGGTTGCGATTGCACGGCCTTATTGGCTGCAAAAATGCAGACGAAAGGTTTGAATATTAATTCAAATTGTGGGCGTACTCAGTAGTGACTTTTGATTTTATAAGTAGCGAAGTAGATTACATGGTGTAAGTTGTACTCAAGTATGAGTAAAATTACACACTTGAAAAATTACTCGTAAAAGTACAAGTACCCAAAAAATGTACTTAATTACAGTAACGTGAGTATTTGTAATTCGTTACTTCCACCCCTGGCTTTTGCCATCCTCCTTTATTCTGTTGTCTCCCCCTTGATTCACGACCACGCATTCTCTTCTTCACCCATGGACTCTTGAAAGATGTTGTCTTCTCATGCGCCTCCATATTTACAAAGCGTTGTAACTCTCAGGCTCTATGATTATGTTGTATACAGTATGTGTGGACTAAATGGAGTTTTATGCATTTATGATTTTTCTACGTTCAGTGGGCACTTTGGTAGGTACACTAGTTCACTAGTTCCAAGCTGGACCACCTTTTTCCTTGAGAAACTGCCTTCATTGCACAGATTTAACAAGGTGCTGGAAACATTCATCATATGAATCTCCCCTTCTACCACATCCCAAAGGGGCTCTATTAGATTAGGTTCTGGTGATTGTGGAGGACATTTGAGTACGTTGAACTCACTGTTATGATCAAGAAATCAGTTTAACAAGATCTGAGTTTTTGACACAGTGCGTTATCCTGCTGGAAGCAGCCATCAGGGGATGAGTGCACTGTGATCATAAAGTGATTTATGTGATCATCATTTGTTATAATGAAACAAACAATTCAGTTTTATTTATATACACAACAACAGCGCTACAATAATACACAGAAAACACTACTCAATTACACCACTCCCAGCAGCATGTACCTTTAAATACAAGGTAAAATGGATCAATGTTTTCATGTTGTTTCAGCCAAATTTGGACGCCACCATTTAAGTGTTGAAGCAGAAATCAGGACTCATCAGACCAGGCGACATTTTTCCACTCTGAGGATGTTTAAGTTATAGCCTCAGTATCCCATTTTTAGCTGACAGGAGTAGCAACCAGTGTGGCCTTCTGCTGATGTAGCACATCTGCTTCACGTTTCAACGTGCTGTGCATTCAGAGATGCTCTCTTTCATACCTTGCTTGTAACAAGAGCACTTAGAAACAGTCGGCCATTCCCCTCTAACCTCAGGCATCAACAAAGCATTTTCTCCCAGAGAACTGCTGCTCCCTGGATATTGTTTCTTTTTCCATTCTCTGTAAACCCTAGAGATGGTTAAGGATGGAAAATCCTAGTAGCTCGTCAGCTTCTGAAATACTTAGACCAGCATGTCTGGCCATGTTTGAAATCAGTTAAATCGCCTTTCTTCCCCATCCCGATGCTTCATTTTAACATCAGCAGGTCAAATTGACCACATCTACATGCTGAAATGCATTAGGTTGATTAGCTGATTAGATATTGGTATTAATGAAGAGCTGAACAGGTGTACTGAATGAACAGCGAGCACTTTACTTTAATATTTTAAATGTTAGATTTTTACCATAAAACTCTTACATGCACATAACTTTTATGTGTGAGGCTGATGGGAATTACTTCAGTTTTGCTGCTATTTGCTGGAACAAAAAAAAAAAAAAAAAAAACCTTCCACAGAGCAGAGCAAGACTAATGGCTTCTAGTCATTATCTTCATCCTCTGGGAAACGCAATAATCTCTATAAATTTATTTTCAGTCTGGAACAAATATGTGGACGCTGCAGACGGACGGACAAAGGTTCCCAAAGTGGCTAAAAGTAAAACCACACACAACAACACACGAATCTTTAACGGTGAGAAAAAACAAAGTTCTCAGAAGAAGGAATGATTTAGATTTTAATGGGTATTATACAAGTCATCCGAAGGAAAAAGGAAACACTGAAACAAGAGGCGAATGAAACCCCAGTTCCAAACCAAAACTACAACAATATCAGCTAACAAAATGGATAGTGCTATTACACTGTACCCAACAAATACTGAGCAAGGGTATCATTATAATAAGACATAAAAGTGTTTTCTTCTCTAAAACATATGAGACCACCTAAAGTTTAAACCAGGAGAAGGTGTCATTTCTACTTTACCTGATGATGGAGCCGGAGGTGCAAAGAATTAAAATCCATTTTTCAGTTTTTTGGTCTGTAATGTAATATATATATATATATATATATATATATATATATATATATATATATATATATATATATATATAATATATATATATATATATATATATATATATCATCAAATAGCAAAGCGCTTTTTAGAAAAAAGATCAACAATCAACAGAGAAATGGTAATATTCTGTCCATGGGTCAAACCCACAAAACTACAGAAGTTCACAAAACAAAAAGAGTGGTTTAAAATAAAAAGAGTCCGTCTGTTCTGGTGAATGCCCCGTGATTGCAATGATGCTCAGGGATCAGCAACAAAGAAACTGCAGTTTACAAATCCAAATATAGTCTATTTTTGGTTTCAAGTAAGAGCAAAAAATAATATTCATAATCAATCAATTTAAGTCTGGAGCAAGCAAACATACCATACCATACCATACCGATATCTTATTTACATTATAATTGTATTTACATCAGGGGATACTGAGGGAAAGTATTTAAATTTAAAGTCCATGTTTAACTTGTTATTTGAAAAATGTAACAGGGAATACGATGCACAATGCAAGGTTCTTTCTTTAAAAAGTGCAATTCCTTTTTCTTAAAGTAAAAAAATATATCTCCTTACTTCTGTATATATGTAGAAATGTTGTTCATATAAACAGCAACTGTTGATTTAAGAGCCCTAAAGCCAGTGACGAAAAATGAATGTGTGTTATTGATAGGCAGCAAATTATCGCTAAAATATAAATTATTTTATAATACTCCATAGAAAATCAGAAGTACCGCATTTTAGCATAAACAGAAACTACTGAGAGTATTTTTTTCTTCCTCTCTTTTAGGAGTGTTTATAGATTTAACTAGACTAATGTGGGCAAGTTTCATCTAACTTATTGTTTATTTAGCCAAAAACATTACTGGATAACAGCAACAACAAAAAAACAAAACAACGAAAAACGTAATACTTCCATAAAATATCTAAGAATAAAACAGTGGTGGACCTGAAGGCAGCCCACAGAACCTCCAATACTTCAGGCTTATAAAATACAAAAGGTAGATAAGCTGGTTTACATGCGTACATGTTTATATATGAATGTTTTTCTTTTTTTCCCCCCTTTTTTTTTGTTGCTTGTGGAATAACAGTGCTGCGTAAGCAGGAATTTCTTAAAAAGGACATCCTCTACACAGTTATAAAAAGCAAGCGGATATTAAAAGTAAATAGTGGTAAACTCGTGTCTCTTGTTTCCAGTGGTCTGCAATGACACCTTTGTGTGTACCAGTATATTGTGGCAACAAGAGTTTCATCAACTGCTCACCAGGCGCAACGTGTTTCTTCCCTTCATATTCAAGTAGTGTTATGTAGCTATATTTGCACATCTTAGAATAGCTTATACTGAAATGAAATCCTTGCACGGCGTCGGGTGTCTGACCGCAGGCTCTGACGTCACCGGAAAGATGTGGTTTTCCATCGCTGAAGAAAGTCTCTCGCAGTTTCACGCTCTATTACATGCTCGGACATCGTGCTGCTTTCCAGTTCATTTGATAAAATTCATAATGTCATAATAATAATGACGTATACTGTATCATAATGTATATGACTAATTTTTTCCCCCATACCAAAAACACTCTTCGTTTCTTTTCCCCCTTAAACATGCTCCTTTTACTGAATCTTTCTGTCTCGTTTTAAATGTGCAACTTTAGGATCCGTTGGTGGGTTGTGCGGTCTGTCTGTGCGCCTCTGTGCTCGTGTCCTTGCATTCTCCAGGAAGGATGCCGCCGGCCTGCAGGGCCAGCTGGGTTTGCAGGTCTTTGACGACGCTTTCCAGGCTCTGTCGAGCTTCTCTCTCCTGCTGCAGCTCCCGTCTCAGCTGCTCACGATCGGCTTCTGCCTGTTGCAGCTGCACATGAAGCTCTTCAATCTGCGCAACACAGGAAGCAGCAAGATTAAATGAACGGCAGCCAAGGAATGGGATCAATAACCACAACCGAGTGCACAATATTTTCTAGTGCTCTCGCTGGCTTTGGTCATCTTGGGGGCATCTCACCTGAGTAGAGTATTTGACCCGGAGGCGTTCGGCTTCGCAGCCTTTATCGCAAACTCGCTGCTGTCTCTCTCTCTCCAGCTCTCTCTTCAGCCGCCCACAAGACTCCTCCGCATCCCTCATCTTCCTCTCCCAGTCCACGCGAAGGCGTTCGATCTCCTTTCGCAGGTTGCGCTTGGCCTCGATGGCCTCGCGAAGACGCCCCTTCTTAGCCACTCTCACAAACTCCAGCTCCTGCAAAAACATTCGAATCATCAGAGTTGTGAAAATGAAATCCAGTGAAGCTTTAATATTATTTAGTTTTGGTGAGATTGGTCTCACGGGTTACCTGCTGAAGGCTGCGTTTAGCTTGAAGAGCAGCTGCCAGCTTCTCCTCCTGCTTCACTCTCATCCTGACAATCTCCTGCAGGAGTTTTTCCCGCGCCTCCTTGGTGTCAAGACCAGCATACAGCATCTGTCTCATGGTGTCCATCTCTGGGCAAACAGTCCCTGGCAGCCAGGAAGGCCTCTCCTGAGCCCGAGCCATGCTCTGAGGAGTCAGAGTCTGAGACACACTGGTGCAGGCAGACGGAGGTGAAGCCAGGGAGGAAGACTGCACTGGACCTGAGGACAGAGAGAGGT